AGGGACTCCTTTCTTGTCTCTTCCTAGCCCTGGTTTGCCAGCCGTCCTTGGTGTGGCTTGCAGTTACAGCACTTTAACCTCTGTCTCCATTGTCACATGATGTCCTCTCTTCACGTGTGTTTGTCTTCACATGGCAATTTCCTAAGTCATACTGAATTAGGGACTACCCTAATGACCTCATCTTTTTTTTTTTCTTTAAAGATTTTATTTATTTATTTTTAGACAGAGGGGAAGGGTGGGAGAAAGAGAGGGAGAGAAACATCAATGTGTGGTTGCCTCTCACATGTCCCCTAGTAGGGACCTGGCCTGCAACCCAGGCATATGCCCTGACTGGGATTCGAACCAGCGACCCTTTGGTTCCTAGGCCGGTGCTCAATCTACTGGGCCACACCAGCCAGGGCCCTAATGACCTCATCTTAATTGGTTACATCTGCTAAGACTCTATTGCTGAAAAGGGTGTATTCATAGATACCAGGGGTTAGGACTTAAACATCTATCTTGTTGTTGGGGAGGGGAGTACAACTATTCAACCCATAAAACTACCTAATAACAAAGCTTCACAATAAAGGAAGAAAAAAATGGGACAAATACAAAGTTAATTATCATATTGAAGAAATTAACATCTCCAGCCAGAAGTTGGTAGAACTAGAGAAAAAATTGGGAAGGATACAGAAATTCCAAACATTAATGTAATTGACATTTATATATTCAACAATTTCAACAAAAGTTTTTTCAAGTGTACTAGGAGTGGCCACTAAGATAGACCACATGCTGAGTCATAAGTCTCAACGTATTTCAAAAGACAAGCATCTTCAATAGTAAACCAAAATGGGATTAAGTTAGACATCAATAACAATCAGGTATCCAGGAAAGCTCCAGATATTTGGAAATTAAGCTCTATCGTTACAAGTACCTAATGTATCAAAGAAATTACAAAGGAAATTAGAGTGAAATGATAATGAAAACCCACAAATCAAAAGTTGTAGAATATAACTAAAGCAGTGCTTAAATTTATAGTTTTATAGATCTATATTAGAAATGAAGGAAGTTTAACAATAGTAATCTACTATTCCAACTTCATAAGCTTGAAAAGGAACAAATCAAACCAAAAGTAAATAGAAGGAAGTAATAAATAATAGAAGGAATCAATGAAAAAAGCAGACAAATGACAGCAAAGATTAAAGTCAAAAGCTGATTCTTTGGAAAAACCCCCCAAAATAATCGAGTAGGTGGATTAATCAGGAGAAAAAGAAAACACGAAATACTTATATCAAGAATGAAAAAGCATTATTGCTACAGATTCTACTGGCAGGACGATAGTAATATGTTGGAATCTAAAAACAATAAAACGAGCAGACAGAACAGAAAGGACACAGACTCACAGATACGGAAAGCAAACTGCTGGTCACCAGGTGGGAAGGGGTAGCGGGATGGGTGGGGAAGGTGAAGGAGATAAAGAAATACAAGTTGCCAGTTATAAAATTAGTCATAGGGATGTAATGTACAGAAAGGAATGCAGTCAATAGTATTGTAATAACTGCATCTGGTGACAGTTGTATCCTAGACTTACTGTGCTGATCACTTCATCAGTTATATAGATGTCTGAACACCATGCTGTATACCCAGAACTAACACACTAGGTATGTCAACTATAATTTAAGCATACATGTAAAAAAATTACAAAAACAAAAGACCTCAGGTGGATGAAATTTTTAGTTTTCACTAGGAAATTTATTAATAATGTCTTTTTTGGTTGTTAACTTTACAGATTTAATAACATGATATTATAAAAGGTTATCCTAGGGGAAAAAAGACAGCAAAGATGGTAAAGTGAGGACCTCTGAAAATTTTGCCTCCATGAAAGAAAACTAACAAAAATGGTCAGGGTTGACTTTTTCAGAACTGTGGAAATTAGCAAAGACCTGGTAACAATTCAGGGAATGCTTACTCAAAACAAAAACAAAAAACCCAAAACAAACAAAAAAACAAAAAAAAACAGTGGCTGAGTCTTGGTGAGAACAGCAAACTCTGTGCTGTTTTAACTTGCTCTCTTTCCATCCCTCCAACACTAGCTCCATGGTGGTCTTGAAAACCAATAATCTGCAAATATTCTGTGATCCTAGAAAACACTGGTGAACTTATTGATTTCTAAGCATTTAAGGAAATCTCTGTCTGGTCATTAGCTAACTGACCACTAGGCTAATGGAGCAGAAACTCAAGTAGCAACATAGGCAAAGAATACTGACTTCACAGAATTAAGTTAGGAAAGTCGCTAAACAAATAAGAACAACAAACGGTCATGAAAAACCCTGGGGAGGGGGGACGGGGACTCTAGTGTCCACAGTACCACACTGTATTATTTTAAATATCAGGTTTTGAATGAAAAATTATATATACAAAGAAACGAGAAGGAATGGCCCATATAAAAAAAAATCAAAAGAAATTATCCTTGAGGTCGTACAGTATTGGAATTATAGACAAAAACTTTAAATCAGCTATCTTAAATACTTTCAAAGAATTTTAGCAAATCATCTCTTAAGAAATAAAGGAAAGTATGAGAATGATGTCTCTCTAGAGAATTCCAGTAAAGAGATAGAAATTATTTTTTTTATAAAGAACCAGATATAAATTTTGGAGTTGACATGTACACTAACTGAAATTTAAAAAAAAAAAAAAATCAGCCCTGGCTGGCGTAGCTCAGTGGATTGAGCTTGGGCTGCAAACCAAAGCATTGCAGGTTCAATTCCCAGTCAGGGCACAAGCCTGGGTTGCAGGCCATGTCCCCAGTATGGGGTGTGCTAAAGGCAACCACACACTGATGTTTCACTCCCTCTCTTTCTCCCTCTCTTCCCCATCTCTCTAAAATAAATAAATAAAATCTTAAAAAATATATTAAGCTTAATTCTAAGCCTTCTATAGCTCTACTCTTTAAAAAAAAATCACTAGAAGGGCTCAGCAGCAGGTCTGAGTAGACAGAAGAAAGAACCAGTGAACCTTGCTGGAGGTCAATTGAGATGATCCCATCTATGAAACAGACAGGGAAAAGAAGAAAGAAAAATGAACGGAGCCTCAGAGACCTGTGGGACACCAATAAGCATGTTGACATACGCATGCTGGGAGGAGAGAGGGAGGACAGAAGAAACTATTTAAAGAAATAACAAAGGAATAAAAATAGTAAGAAGGCAGTAATAGAGACAGAAGTAAGAGAGATGTAACACAAAAATATATAGCAAATGCTGATGGAAATCCTACCTTATCAGTAATTTAACGTAAGTAAATGTTCCCATTACAAGGCAGAGATCTGGAGAATGCATAAAACACATGGTCCAACTCTGTGCTGTCTGTAAGAGCCACACTTTAGATTCAAAGCCACAGACAGGTGGAAAGTGAAAGGATGGAAAAAGATGTCATGCAAGCGGCAATCAGCAAGATAGACCACATCCAGGTAAGAAAACAAGTCTCCATAGATTTTAGAAGGTTGAACTAATACAAAGCATATGCTTTAACCACGAAAGAATGAATTTAGCCTGCTAGGTTTTAGTAAATATCTACTTCATGGAATTTGAAAAACATGAAGTATGCCCCTCCTAGTCATTTTTACTGTCTAACCAGCCCTTCCAAACTGATCCTGGAAAAAAAAATTCCACAAACACTCTGGCATGAGTCACCAGGCCACCTCACCCACAAGAGCTAGGTCATAGGGATTTTGTGCTGTTTATTTCCTGGATGCCAGTATCCATTGTGTTAGGCAAGTTATTTAGTGTCTCTAAGCCCCAGTTTTCTCATCTGTAATTAGATCATTATACCTACCTCAAAGATTTATTCTGAGAGATTAAATGAGATACTATCTATAAATCTTCATTCCTACCCACCTCATCCTCTCCCTGTCTTTCTCCTCCCCACGCAAACAACAGGACTAGCACTGGTCCATGGCCTCTTAGGAACCGTGGAAAAATTGTCTTCCACAAAACCAGTCCCTTGTGCCAAAAAGGTTGGGGACTGCTGTTGGAGGGTGTATATAGACTAGAAGAGATTATAAGCATTGTAAGAGATGACATATGTGACTTGTCTAGCACATAGTAGGTACCCCACAAGTGGTAGCTATTACTTTTTTTCGCAATAATCTACACCTATACCTTTTTCTCATTTTTGTAGCTTAGCTTGTCCCCTGGGCCAACTCCAGGCAAGTCCGCTGTAAACACCATCTTTCCCTTTGCCCCCCCCTCCCCTCTCTCTCGCCTTCTCTAACACCCACTTTTCCTACTTCCTGCCCAGAGAGGGGAAACAAAGCTAGAAGAATGGATGTAAACCTCAATAAACAATTGTGAGAAAAGTGTTTAAGTGCCAACATTATTTTTGTCTGAGTGTATGTGTGAGAGGGAAACCTCTGTTAGACTGGTATGTCTTCAAACCCCAGTGAAATAGAACTGGAATTTTTTTTAAAAAAATCATGTGTCCGTGGTATGGAAAGAAATCACCCAGTTTAAGCATGTGGGAGTGACCGTGGGCTCCAGCCTTCAGGGATCCAGTGCTGAGATGCAAAGCGCAGGGCTAAGGAGGAGGAAGTAAGGATTTAGAAAAATAAAAAGGAAATGGGGCAGTTGTTGAACTGTTCCTACAGTTATTTTTTAAAAGTCCTGTCCTGATAGGACTCCCTCGCTCGCCAAGCGCTGGAGACATCGCTGGTCCAGGAGAGTTCTCCAAGGAAAGAACTCGCAACACGCGCGTTTGTACAGAAGCCCAACCAGATCTCGGCTCTGACTCCCGGGATCTGGGAATTCCCACCCGACGCCTGGGCTTCTGCACCGGCTGAGCGGTGGCAGGAATCCACCGGTGGCCGCAGGAATAACCTGAAGCCCCACCCGGGGCTAATTCCCGAGTCAGACCGCAGCGACCCGGGCTCCCCCCCACCCCCCACCCCAGCCCCCAAGCGCTGACTCCGCCCCAGTGCCCCACGTGACTTCCCGAAAGGCCGCAGGGACTGCCCCCTGCCACTCAGTTTCGTTTCTCCGGCGGCCTCTGGGAGAGCGTGAGCACGAGCCGTCCCAGCGCCACCCGTCCGGTCCCCCGAGGAGCGCCATGGCGGAGCTGTCGCTGGCCGATGAGCTGATGTGCTCCATCTGCCTGGAGCCCTTCAGGGTGCCCGTCACCACCCCGTGCGGCCACAACTTCTGCGGATCGTGCCTGGACGAGACATGGGCGGTCCAGGGTGCGCCGTACCAGTGTCCACAGTGCCGCAGAGCGTACCAGGTGAGACCGCAGCTCCACAAGAACACGGTGCTGTGCGCCGTAGTGGACCAGTTCCTGAAGGCCGAACTGGCCCGCACAACAGTGCCCGACGGCTGGACACCGCCCACCCGCGCCGAGGCCCCCAAACCCACCGGCCAGGTGTCCTGCGACCACTGCCTGAAGGAGGCTGCCATCAAGACGTGCCTGGTGTGCATGGCCTCCTTCTGCCAGGAGCACCTACGGCCGCACCTCGATAGCCCCGCCTTCAAGGACCACCCGTTGCAGCCGCCGGTCCACGACTTGTTGCGCCGCAAGTGTCCCCAGCACAACCGGCTGCGCGACTTCTTCTGCCCCGAGCACAGCGAATGCATCTGCCACGTCTGCCTGGTGGAGCACAAGACCTGCTCGCCTGTGCCCTTGAGTCAGGCCAGTGCAGACCTGGAGGTGAGGGGGTGGCTGCGGAAGGCGCGGAGGGGGCAGCCTGGGCTTGTTGGGTTGTGCAGAGGGCGCCACGGTGGGCATGTCAGTGGGCATGTCGGCGTACCCTGGATCGCTTGCGGTAGGTAGGTAGGGGGGATGGACCTTGCTGGACCTGAGATGGGGCACAAGACACAGGTGATGTGGCTTGCCTGAAGCCTAGCATTTGTCTGATGGTGTTAATAGAGGGTTTTGAAGTCAAATATGAACCCTGGAGGTTACCTCTGTTCCCTCATTAAATCCTGGTGGCACCCAGGGGGTGGGTGTAGTTTGTTCCATGTTTCAGTTGAGGAGATTCAGTTCAGAGAAGTTCATTTAGCCCAAGTAACACGGTAAGCGGCCAGGTAGGCTTCGGGACCCGCGTATTTGACTCCCCAGTTTGCCGTTTCTCTGCAGAAACGGGCCTTATACCTGAGTCAGAGCATGGGGTGCTCCCGGAGGTTTGAAGTCATGTGAGCAACAGCCGCTGGAGAGCTGGAGAGCTCCAGGACTAGGGAGCATCCCTAGGAGCCGGAGGGCTGGCAGAGTCCTAGGAATTCTTGCATACAACCTGTGGGAAGAGCCAGCGCCCTGGCACCATGGCACCCTCCCTCATGGCTGTGTGTGGCTGTGAGCCGGGATTTGGCCCCTTGGCCTGGGTCCTCATCAGTAAAGTGAGGAGGTGGGACCAGGTTGCGTCCTAAGGGGCCTTCCAGGTCTGTGATGATTGTAGTGGTTTGGAGGACTGTAACTTCCACTTGTGGACTTAAGGCAGAGGGGAAAAGGAGTAATCAAACTGCCTTTTGTTTAATCAGTCTAAGTTCCAAAGTGTTCCCTGATGTCGCTTCATTCCCTCAGCACTGTCACGGAGAACAGGACTGGACTGTCCTTGTGTTGTCAAAGCAGACCTGAGGCCTAGGGGAGTGGAGGTGTTAGTGGCACCCGGACCTGTGTTCAGGCCTTGCTTTTTTCCAGCCACTGCCCCTCCCCCATGGGCCTGCTTCTCCCAGTCTGAGCAAGGTTCTTCTGAACTTCTTCCCTGAGTCTCAGAAGCCAGACCTCCAGGCATAGCCTGAAAGTTGACCTCTGACATGCAACAGCCACCTGGGTCTTGGGATAGGAAAAGAGCTGTGGCTCTGGGACAGGCTAAGAATAGCCTGGGATAGGAAAGAACCTTGTAGGTTTTGGAGCCAGGAGACCTGCTCTGCCTTTTATCAGCTGTGGTTGATAGTCACCTGGGAGCCCCCTCCTACAGTTGGATTAGTGGCGTTCCCTCCCCGCCTGCCGTGGAGGTAGGGAGGCTGCCGAGAGAGTTGCTGTGTGCGAAGTGCTTGGTAGGCAGACAGGCCCCAGAGTAGGAGGACTGGCTGGTTGGTTGACAGGGGCTCCAGCCAGAGCTGGATGTTGAGACCTGCATTTGAATTCCGGCTCTGCTTCCTAGCCAGGAAATCCTGCAAGGGGATAATGGCAGTTACTTATCTCAGAAGGTTATTGAGAAGATTAAATGAGGCAACCTAGGAGCAGTGTTTTACATTTCTGTTACCCCACCCAGGGGAGAGGAGAGCGTGCTGGGCTGAGGGTGTCAGGCTGCACAGATCTTTGCCTTGGGAGGGTGTCTGGGCCTGCCCCTGAAGACTGAGGCAGCCCAGCTCCTGCCCAAAGGCCTTTCCAGAAGTTCTCATCCAGGGAGGCAGAAGGCAAGTAGGGGCAGGAGGGCCTTTCTTAGCCTGTCCCAGAGCCACAGCTCTCTCAGCCTCCAGGGCCCACAGCTGGAGTCTGCGCCCCGTTTATCTGTGTGCCACACGTGTTTCGCTTTTTCATTCTTGTGACAGGCCTTCCTCCACCATCTCCCCCCTTTCTCCATTGTCCTGGCTGAGTCCTTTAGCCCCGCTGCTGCTCACTCCTGGTGGCAGAGCCAGCCGCAGCTGGACAGTGCCCCTGCCTTGGGCGGCTGGCCTGTCTCCACATCACTGGTGCGGGGTGGACCCAGGATTCTGTACCTCCCACGTGGAGGACAAAGGTCCCCAGTCTGTTCAGGGATCCTCAGAACTTGGCAAGTTCTCTACCCTCAACTAGGGAATTGTGGCTTCTAAAGTCCTGGGACTACTTCCCTTTTGTCTCGAGCTGTGTGGGCCCCCTTCTGCTGTCAGGGGACTGCCATGTAGGTTTGATTAATGGTGGATAAAAATCTTTCAAAATAGACAGTTTGGGAGTTCGGTACTAAGAGTGGCTCTTGGAGGCAAAACAATTGGTAACCGCCCCTCCCCCGCCCACCCTGTGTTTTGAGGTTTCTTCTAGCTCTGAGGCCTGTTGGGTTGGACCTGCCTGGGCGGGGCCTTCGGCCTTTGGCCTACTTTGTCTTGGCCACTCTTAGGGGTCAGGTCAAAGAGCATTGTCACAGAGTTCGAATCTGAAACATTGTCAGTGACTTGGGCTTTCAGGGTCAAGTTAGTGTGGCCTTGGACTCTGTTTCTCCTCTTACATGTGACCATCACAGGGTTGATGCAAGGTCAGGTTCAGCCTTGAATGTCTTTAGTAGAGTGGGAGAGGCAAGAAAGAGGAAGGGAGGGCCAGAGTACAGTTGAGCGAGCCAGATGGGATTAAAATCTTTCTAGAAATTCTTGGTGTACTCAGTTTGGAGGCTTGTCTGGAACTGTAACACCAGGATCTTGTAACTTAAGTTAATAGTGGCATACCTAGGTCAAATCACTTAATTACTCTGGGCTTCAGTGTCCTTATCTCTGAAGAGTGGGTAACTCTGACCTCCTGGTTTTGTGCTCAGCTTTAAGTAAGCACAGCACTAGAGCAACGCCTGGCTCACAGCACGTATCTCATCAACTCTAGCTGTGATTATTGTGTTAGTGGTGGCTCTTCCTTCTCATTTCTGTGCCCCAACAGTTTGCCTGAGCAGGGAGGGAAGGGAGGGAAGGATCTCCGATATTGATTATGAAAGTTTATAGAACTACTAAGAGGCCTTAGAAGATACTGTCTTCCTTCAGGCATAATTTACCTTTGTTTCTAGATATGGCTAGGGACCTAGCAATTCTGAATCAGGGATTGAGCTGATGGTGGGCTGGTCTATTGCTGGCTCATTCTTTTTAAGATTATTTTTAGAGAGAGGGGAAGGGAAGGGGAAAGAGAGGAAGAGAGATACATCAATCAGTTGCATCTCTCACGCCCCCAACTGGGGACCTGGCCCGCAACCTAGGCATGTGCCCTGACTGGGAATTGAACTGGTGACCTTTGGGTTTGCAGAACGTTGCTCAATCCACTGAGCCAGGTCAGCCAGGGCTTGCTGGTTTAGTCTTAATTCCTTGGGAATGGCCGTTAGAGGTCTCCGCCTGTGGGGCTGACTGAATGAGCCTTGGGCTCTGATTTTTGGCCTCCTGCCCCCCTGAGCTGACAGAGGTTCTCCCAGCTGTCTTTGGAATTGGCAGATGGCTCTGGGAGAACCCAGGCCTGTCTCTCTGGGTTTCCTCCTCCTGGATTTTGGCTTTGTGATCCTTCCTCGCCTCAGTTTCATCCCCTGTAAAATGGGTGCTAGGAAAAAAGCTCGTAATCCTGCAAGCTGTCTCGGATCCAGGCATTGTGCTGAGGACTTCTTTTGTTTCAGTTAATCCTCCTGATAGCTCTGTGAGGTGGAAACAGTTGTATCTGTTTGGTCGCCAAGCAGACAGTAGGTGAGAGACCACTGAACGCTGGGAACTGGGCCTGGACCCCTGGCCTGACTGACTCCAGACCTCTTAGTAGTTACTAACTTCTTTGCAGTACTGCCTCCCTAAAAGGATGAAGGGGGTGGTGAAAACGAGAGTGCTTTAAAAAGCTACAAGCAGGCAAGACCAGAGTTGGCGGAAACACCTGCGGGGGAGATTGGCAGGGAGGGGCGGGGGGATGCTGGTGGGGGCTGGGCCGAGGTCTGTCTCACCCTGGTTTGTTCTCCCCGCAGGCCAAGCTGAAGCATAAACTGACTGTCATATACGGTCAGATCAACGGGGCGTCGAGGGCGCTGGAGGATGTGAGAGCCAGGCAGCAGGATTTGCGGGTGAGTGACAGGGCACTTCCCAGTGCATCCTGACTGCGACCAGCCCCGTCTCAGGTGGTTGGGAGCCGTGTACAGCAAGTGGCTACATACTGGACGGTGCAGTTCCTGTGGACGATATTCTTTAGCAGTTTTCTAGAGCAGCTTCATACCCGTTCTTTAAAAAAAAAAATGCCCATGAACTGCTTCCCAGCTTAAGAAAGAAAAGATCACCAATGCAGATGAAACCCTCACTCTACTCCCTTCCCTTTTTATATCTCCCTTTTTTCTTCTTCCAGAAGTAACTACTTTCCTGAATGTATTCACTTATTTCCACGGATTTCTCTCTACTTCTATTATGTATGTGTGCCTCCCTTTAGCTGTAAACAGGACCCTTCTCTTTGTGTCTAAGCCCTTATGGAAAGGGCGTCAGTACTGTGTGTGTCCTACAGGTTGTTTTTCCCTTGTGGGATTTATCCGTGTGTTGCCCCCGTTGATTAATTTTCATCTCTGTGTAATATTCCATCCTACGAATACGCGGTCTGCGTATACAGTCTCCTGTTTCCAGGGTTTTGTCAATTCAGACAATGCTGCTTGTGAGCATCTTGTGGGCGTCTCTGGGGCAGGTGTGTGAGAATTTTTCCAGAGTACGTTCCTGGAGTTGAGTGGTTGGGTCATAGGGTATGAGCACCTTCGAGTTTCCTAGATACTGCCAGGCTGGTCTCCAAAGTGGTCGTGTCGCTCTGTGCTCCGCATCTCGGCAGTGCTGGTCCCACGGGCTTCGCTGTTGGCCTGTCTGATGGATGCCCTCTTGTCTCGGCTTTGTAGGAGGCCACACAAAGGAAGATGGAACACCTTCGACAAGAGTACTTGGAGATGAAGGCTCTCGTTGACGCCTCAGAGTCCAGCTCCACACAAAAGATCAAGGAAGAGGAGAAGAGGGTCAGCAGCAAGTTCGACACTATTTACCAGATCCTCCTCAAGAAGAAGAGTGAGATCCAGAATGTGAAGGAGGAGATTGAACTTGCCCTGAAGAAGGGGGACGAGTTTGAGTTTCTGGAGGTGGGCTTTTTTTTTTTTTTTTACGATTTTATTTATTTATTTTTAGAGAGAGAGGGGAAGGGAGGGAAGAAGAGAGGGAGAGAAACATTGATGTGCAAGAGAAGCATTGATTGGTTGCCTCTCGTATGTGCCCCCACTGGGGACCAATCCCACAACCCAGGCATGTTCCCTGACTGGGACTCGAGCTGCCAGCCTTTTGCTCTGTGGGATGGTGCCCAACCAATTGAGCCTCACCGGTCAGGGCTGGAGGTGGGTCTTGATGAGGACATTGTTGAACACTCTTCCCGCCTAGCGTGATGCTATTGATATAGGGGCCTTAAGGAGTGGGGTCTGCGAGAGGTCGTTGAAAGCATCCCTGAGATACATGCTGTTTGTTTTTTATGCCCTGTGACAGCTTATCACAAATGTAGTGGCTTAGCACATACATTTCCGGTCTCACACTTTCTCTGGCTCGGGACTCTGGGGGTTGCTTCCTGGGGGCCTCTCACAGGCTGCACTCTGGGTGCTGGTGGGGCTGCATTCCCAGCTCACTCGGTTGTTGGTGAGGTCCAGTGCCTTGTGGTGCAGCACCGAGGTCCCCCTCCCTGCTGGCTGTCCCCTCTCAGTTCCTAGAGGCTGCTGCAGTGCCTCGCCCTGTGGCCCTCTGCCAATGTGGCAGCTCACTCCTTCCAAGCCAGCAGGGGGTTTCTCCGGGAAGGCCCAGCCTCTCTTTTCAGGGCTTTCCCCTGATTAACTCGGGCCCGCAGAGGACACATCTTTCTGATGAACTCAGAATCAACAAATTTGGGGTGTTAACTGCAGCTGAAAAATTTCTTTGGTTTTGCCATGTAAGGTTACCTAACCACTGGAGTGATATCCTATCACATCGTTGGTCCTGCTTATTCTCAAGGGAGGGGATTTTATAGGGTGTGTACTCTAGGGTAGGGGTGGGAGTCTGGGGCGCCATGGTAGAATGTTGCCCACTGCACGCGCCTCTGCTCTCTTCCCCATCCCTTCGTCTCACTGCCCTGGAAGTGTCTTTCTAAAAGCACAGGCCCGCCTCCCGACCCTGGCCTTCCTGACTTCATACCCTTAGCATGGCCCAGAGGCCCCTGATAACCGGGTGGCCTTTGCCAGCAGCCTCCTGTCTTGCCACCTACCCACAGCCCATGGTCTGTGCTCTGACCATGGCAGAGCTCTCGCTGTGCCCCGGGCACACCGGGCATTAGACGGGAATGCCACAGCTAACTTTCTCTGCCTACTGAATCCTGGTCTTTTTCCAGGGTGACTCCAGTTTCCTCTGCCTTCCCTGGATCCCATTATTTTGCCATTATTGACAATCCAGGGCATGTGACACTGCCACTGCTGAAACACTTGATGGCATTGTGTTAGGTGTACTTGCTGTCTCTCTTTCTTTTTTTAAAATAGTTTATTTGGTTTAGAGAGAAGGGAAGAAAGGGAGAAAGAGAGGGGCAGAAACATCTATGTGCAAGAGATACATAGATTGGTTGCCTCTCACACCCCCCCAACTGAGGACCTAGCCTGCAACCCAGGCATGTGCCATGACTGGGAATTGAACCGGTGACCTCTTGGTTCACAGGCTTGCACTCAATCCACTGAGCCACACCAGCCAGGGCAGGTGTACTTGTTTTCATGTCTGTTTGGGCAGTCAACTCCTTTTGGGTGTGGCCCATCCCTTATGACCAACAATCCTGGCATGTCCAGCGCCTAGCTGAGTGCCTGGTACGCAGTGGGTGTTCCAGGGAGCCCAGGGATTGGGCGCCGTGCTGTGACCCCTCAAAGGCCCATACTCCCTGCTGAGGTCCTAGGGAGAGTACAAGAGTGACTGGTTGGTCCATCCTAGGCTGGTTGGCATTAACTTACTTCTCACGTGCTCACTCCTGCTTGTTGGAGTAGCTGCCTCAAGCTCTCAGAACGATTCTGAGTCTACATCTGTGTGACCCGATTTGTGCCTCAAAGTTTGGGATGTTCCTTGAGACCCTTTGTTTTCATTGGACGTGCCCCTCGCTGAGTCCTGCACCTTTGAGACTCCCTTGTCTTTATCCAGACGGTATGTTCAGAGTTGGTCCTTGAGGGATGGGGCTGGTTCTGAGTCTCCCGTACTTCTCAGCCACTGTTGGGGGAGCGGAAAGAGCATCATTCATGGGGGCCCCAGCTTTGTTCTTGCCACTAATTGGCAGAGTTCCTGGCAGATCATTTGTCATTTCTAGACTTTAGTTTCCCCATCTGTCAGGGGAGCGACCTCTGAGGGTCCTTCCAGTTCCAGATTGCTACTGTAAAGTGGCACTTGAACCCCCAGTGGCCTCTGGCCTGTGATTGAGCAGGCTGATTGGATTTCCCACCTGCAGGCACAGGGGAGCTCCTCCTGGGGTTCACGAGGCCCAAACCCAGGCCCTGGCTTCCTGGGGCCGCCTGCACTAACCCCCTGGCTCGTTCCAGAAAGGGGCAAAACTGCAAGCAATCGTGACGAAGCCAGTCTACGTCCCCAAGGTGGAGCTTAACCACGAGCTGATCAAGAGCATCTGCCAGAGCTCCACAGACATCAAAGCCGAGCTGAAGCGGTGCCTCAGGCAGACCCAGGACAAGGAGCCCTCCGACTCAGGTGACGTTAGCAACCTACCCCCAGGTCCCCCCACTGGGACCCTTGAATCTGGATGGGTCCCCTTAGCATTTTGGAGTGCGAGCGAAGGCCTGGATCCCGAGCACTGGAGGTTAGCTTCAGGGGCCCTGACACGTCTGCCCTCCGTCAGGAGGTACTGGGGAGTCTCTGCTTCATATCTTGGGATGGTAGCCATTTTTCCTAAAACATTTTTGCAGGCCTCATGTGATCTTGAGGCTGACTGAGATGGGTTTTGAATGGACTCTGGGTCGTCAGTGTATTTGATGGGGGAATGGTTGGTTTGGGGGTCAGAGAAACCTGGAATTCCTCCCCGATACCCCCTCTTTCTTTCCCCATGTCCAAATGTCTCCTGACTCAGTCTACCTGCCCCACTGCCAGCCACCCCTGCCTGACCTCCGTTGCCACCAGTGGTTGGTGACCTCCCAAATAGACCGTTTGCATCTGTTCCTGCTGTAGTGAGCAAGAACTTTTTGGGATACAAACCTGATGTCCTGGGTCCTTCCCTCCTTACCTCCTCCAGGGGTTTCCATTGCTTCTAGATCACAGACTGGACTCCTGACCCTGGCCTCCAAGCTCCAGAGTTTGATCAGGCCCTGTCTCTCCAGCCCCCTCCTTTGGCGCATCTCTCTGTGTTCAGTTCTTCAGATACGCTAAGCTTCCTGCCACTGGGCCTTTGTCCATGCCCTTCCCACTGCCAGGAAGGCTCAGCACCCACCACCTTCACCAGTTAATTCCTCTCACCCTTTGGAGATCAGTCAAAATATTACATTTCTCTGCAGATCTTCCTGTCACCATTCCCACACCTCAGACTGGGCCCTGGGATCCTCCTTGTTCTTTGGGACCCTTTGCACATCTATCATTTTTCTCTTCCTGGCCATTCCCGGCCATCTTCTTACCAGGCTCTGGTCTGCGTGCAGGCAGGGGTGGGTCTGATTTCATCCACCACTCTCTGCCCAGTGCCTAGCTCGGAGCCTGGCTCAGTGCACACCTTGGCTGTGTAACCTGGGGGTGGGTTTGAATTTCAGCTTGGCCAGCCAGGAATCTCTGCAGCAGGGCCTCTGAAACAGGTGTCGCTCGGCCCCATGCAGGAGGGCAAAGCTGTTGGATTTGCTACCCTGCTACCTCAGTGGTCCCCAGTCTGGGGGAGCGAGGTGGGAGGGAAAGCCCAGAGGGAAGGAACTCCCACGCATCTGTCTCACCGCTCTGAGCAAGGGCCTTATCCCCAGTGGGTGCTGGAAGAAACTGAAGCTGAGAGAGGGTTAAGAGGTCAAGGAGTTGGGTGCTGGTGGAAAAAAGACCTGACCCCAACTATATTTGAAGCCAAGAGAAGAGGGAACACCCCTTCCTGGATTTCTGCTCTTACAATGATGGGGTGGTGAGAGCGGATGGAGTGGTTGGGATGTGCTCCCAGCTGTCTTTGTAAGCCCGCTGCCCGCCTGCCTATGGCAAAGCTGGCTCCTGGCATGGTTCGGAGGAGCCACGTAAAGAAAATCCTTCTTCTTTGGCACAGGGGACCCTGCAGAGCATGCCACAGCGCCCACGTCAAAACCCTCACGTCCTGGGAAGAAGGTCCTGAGTAAGTAACCCTATGTCCCCGTGGCAGTGGCATGGCTGTGGCTGGCTAAGGCTCTGGCTGTGACACTTGGCAGCTGTCTCTGCTCCTTCCAGATGGGCACAGCCCCTCCCAAGTCACTGCACGCCCAGAGTGGAAGTTGAAGGGGCTGTGGCAGGAGCTCTGCTAGGGCACCTGTGTGATCTGGCCCTGAGTGTTAGCTAGTTGAGCTGCCTGGAACTGCGGGGTTAGATATTTGAGCTGCCTGGAACAGCAGGGTTAGATATGTGAGCTGCCTGGAACAGCAGGGTTAGATATTCGTGCTTCCTGGAACAGCAGGGTTAGATATTTGAGTTTCCTGGAACAGCAGATTTAGATATCTGAACTGCCTGGAGCAGCAGGGTTAGATATTCGAGTTTCCTGGAACAGCAGGATTAGATTCAAGCTTCCTGGAACAGTAGGGTTACCAAAGCTGGTTTGTCTTGGGAAACGTGCTGACACCCAAGTTCTGGCACTTGGGAGGAGCCCTCTTGCATTTGGGTGGAGCCCCCTGGAGGAGACTGGCAGAAGTGCTGGAGGAGCAGAGGCTAAACCTTGCTCATCTGTCATGTGTCTCTGCTGTCACAGTGCTTCCCAACCGTTTTTACAGTATTGCCTTTCTCTCCCATCAGCCCAGCCATTTAGAAAACGTTTCTTCTATTATTTCCATACATGAACAGCGTATATGTTTATATACTGTGCTTTTATACATAAAAAGAATAAGGTTTTTTATCTGCACCCCCCACCCCCCGAATCAAGAGCAGTGTCACCTTTGTGGAGAAGGGCATGCGCTGCCGAGGTGGGAGCCGAGGGAGGGATGGCCCTCAGTCCCTCCTCTGTCGGATTGGGACTGTAACGACACCGACTGGCAGGATTACTAGGACGAGGGAGGTCCACACGGCACACAGGTTGAGAAAGCTCTTTCAAGGCCTGAAGCATGCCACTGAACTGTCGGCTGTGTGGCCTCCCCGAAACATTGGCATGAACTGTGGAGTGGGGCCCATGCCCCTGGGTGGCTGGGGTGAGAGAACTTCCGGTCTGTGGGTGGTTCGTTCAGTTTTAGTGTTCAGGTTGTCTGTGGCGGGCAAAGGTTTGCAGTCCATCCCTGCATGGAGCAGAGTCAGGGAGTTGGGGTGCCTGGTGCAGCTGAGGGAGGAGCCCCCAGCTCAGCTGGGACATGTGGAAGCACCCTTGGTGTGAAAAGGGAAGTGAAAGTGGGTGAAAAAGTGCTGTCAGACTGGATCCTTCTTGAGTCGTCATCCTCCTCCCGTAAGTTTGCTCACTGCTGCCCCTGATCACAAGGTCCTCTCTCAGTATGAGCGAACTGTGGGTGCCGGCCTTCGGGCCGAGGTGGGGGAGTGGGCAAGGAGGGGTGGGCTGGTCTCACCGCGTAGATGAGGCTCCTAAGAATTGTGGTGACCAGGGAGGGGGTCCTGTGACCTTGGCTGGCATTGCAGCCATGGATCCTCCCAAGATGCTGGGCCAATGGGCCAGTGGCCATGGGTGGGAGAGGAGTCGAAGGTGGGGAGCGAAGGCAACTCCTGAGGGATGTGGATGTGAAGGGGGGGAAGAGCGAGCCACGTGCAGCTGAAGGAGGTCTGGGGTGGGCCCCAAGAATCTGCATTTCTTATGGGCAACGCTGATGCTGCTGGTTTTTTTTTTAACAGAACATGATTATATTTCAACACACAACTTTTGTTTTTACCACCAACAAATAAAACACCATAGTAAAATAACCAAAACGTGACATTTCATTTGGAAGGCATGAGAAATGGTTAACATTTCAGGCATAAACGAGCTCTTCAGAAACCAGTTTCAGAGACACTAATAAGCCGAACAGTGCTTCTAGGTTAGGGCCAGCACTTTGAGAACCGCCATTTCAGTGAGGCAGTTTCCAGGGGCACACGCTCCAGACCGTTCTTACGGGCTGTTGCGATTCTTGGTCGGCACACTGTTGCTGCTGACTACTACTACTACTACTACTATTATTTATTATTATTATTTTGCATTTTCCCTCTTATGGAGATATCATTTACCTCCACTAAAATGCACAGATCTTAAATGTGCAGTTAGATAACATTTTTTAAAAGATTATTCACTTTTTACAGAGGGAGAAGGGAAGGAGAAAGATAGGGAGAGAAACATCATTGTGAGAGAGAAATATCTATCGGTTGCCTCTGGTACGTGCCCTGACCAGGGACCAAACCTGCAACCCAGGCCCGTGCCTTGACCAGGAATTGAACCGGTAACCTCTCACTTTGCAGAATGATGCCCAACTGAGCCACACTGGGCAGGGCTAGTTAGATCAATTTTTTAGAAAAGATTGTGTTTATTTATTTATTACTAGAGAGGGGGAAGGGAGAAAGAAAGAGAAGGAGAGGAACATTGATGTGTAAGAGAAATATCAATCAGTTGCCTCTCCTATTTTCCCAACTGGGGACCTGGCCCACAACCCAGGCATGTGCCCTGGCAGAGAATTGAACTGGTGATCTTTCAGTTCACAGGCTGGCACTCAATCCATTGAACCACACGAGCCAGTACCAGCTAGATAAATTTTGACAAATGCATACATACGTGTTACCATTACTCACATCAAGATAAAGAATTTCCATTGCCCCAGGGAATCCCATCATGTTCCTTATTAGTCAGTCCCTCCCTGACCCCACCAATCACGGATGGGGATTTTGTCACCATAGAGCTATTTGCCTGCTGACCCCTTATCTTTTTTGAGTTAAGGAATTCTGGTTTTATTGGTATGGGTCACATTCATGTAAATTCATGTGAGTTCATGACTATGGTCTTTTGAAAGTATCATTGTGTTGTGGTTTACAGTGTCTTAATTCTGGAACTTTTTTTTTTCAGAAGAAGAAAAGAAACCCAAGAAACTTCGTAAGTTGTGCATTTCTGCTCTGTTTGTTCCTTTGGACTTCCTGAGTGCGGTGGACAGTGACCTGTCGCATCAGGGCTCTGTGGTGGGGCCTCAGTTCCAGGGGTGTGTTCTGTAGCAGCAGGCAGGCCTGAGGGTGGAGTTAAGGACAAGTGTAAATGAGAAAGCTGGGTAAGATGAGTGTAGCGCTGTCTGCACTCGCCTGTGTTGCCCTGGCTGTGCAGGTGTGTGTCTGTAGAAGTGACTCTTGAAAATCGGCTTGGGAGGGAGTAAGTAGAGGCCATAAGGTCAGTTGTGTCATGTCCCCAACACATGTCCTCCTTCCTCATTCCAGCCACCACTGGTGTCTCACCCAGCAAACTTCCCACCTTCGGAGCCCCGGAACAGTTAGTGGACTTAAAACCAAGTGGCTTGGAGGGTGAGTTATTGTGGGCAAGGGGAAGTAGGGTGTCCACTCTTGAGTTTATTCTGAAAATGGCTCTCTGTTTCCTCACCCAGCTGCAGCCAAACCCACCACCTTGCAGCCGAACTCGGGGTCTCTCCAGGCCAAGGTGCTGGAGAACTTCTTATCCAAGTCCAGACCCGAGCTCCTGGACTGTGAGTAGCACTGGCAGCCAGCAGCTGTTGCCGAAACGCCACTGGTCCCACTGCCAGCTCTCCCACTCGGGTTTTCCGGTTGACTCCCTGCCATTCCAGAACCTTTCCGGGTGCCATAACTTTCATCTTCTCCTGTCCCACCCAATCTCTCCTGCATCATAGAGAAGAGACGCTCCAGAAGGGCATGCGCTCACCCTCTCGTGGTCCTCTCACCTGACTCAATGCCCTGTCTCTGCTTCCTTTACTCTGCTTCCCCAAGGACAGTTCCTTGGCTAGAGCTCTGGATCTTACCCCTCTTACTCTCTCTGGAATCTTGTGTTCTCAGTTAGGCCTTAGTTATGGATGGATGGGTGGGTGGGTGGGTAGGTGGATGGGTGGATGGATGGATGGATAGATGGATGGATGAGTGCATGAATGGATGGATAGATGCATGGACAGATGTGTGGGAGGAGGATGGGTGGGTGGATGCATGTGTGGACACACAGGGAAGTAGATGGATAGATGGGTAGCTGGATGGATTGGGGGGGAATGGATAAAACTAATGAATAACACATCAGTTGAAGCAAGGTTTAAAAGGAAGAGCACCTTGGGCTCCTCGTAATTGCTTTCTCGGTGTAATGCTGTTTCAGATGCTGTGAAAGTCATCCTGGACTACAACACTGCCTACAGCAAGGTGGTTCTGTCGGAGAACTACACTGTGGCCTCAGTGGCCGACGTGCACCAGAACTACCGGCCCCATCCCCAGAGGTTCACGTACTGTTCTCAGGTGCTGGGCCTGCACTGCTACAAGAAAGGGATCCACTACTGGGAGGTGGAGCTGCAGAAGAACAACTTCTGTGGCATGGGCATCTGCTATGGCAGCATGGCGCGCCAGGGCCCCGAGAGCCGGCTCGGCCGCAACAGTGCCTCCTGGTGTGTGGAGTGGTTCAACACCAAGATCTCTGCCTGGCACAACAATGTGGAGAAAACCCTGCCCACCACCAAGGCCACGCGTGTTGGTGTGCTTCTCAACTGCGACCACGGCTTCGTCATTTTCTTCGCTGTGGCCGGTGACAAAGTGCACGTGATGTATAAGTACAAGGAGGACTTCACTGAAGCGCTGTACCCGGCCTTCTGGGTGTTCTCCGCAGGTGCCACGCTCTCCGTCTGCTCCGGCAAGTAGGTAGGCCTCAGACACTCTGGCCGCCTGCCTGTGGAGCTCCTGGGACTCTAATGAAAATGCGTCAGGGGCCTGTCTCGGAGTTCTTCTCTGAGAGTCCCCAGGGGGTGGCAGGGTGGGAGGGGAGCTGATGGAAGGTGAGAGGGTGGGCAGAGGGGACAAGGGATGCATTTTGCCAGGGAAAGGCGGGGTGGGGGTTGATTGTACTGTGAGCAAGGAAGCCGTCCCATCTCCTGTTGTATATCAAGGCAGGGTAGGCCTCTTCCCTTGCTCTGGTGGGTCCCTGGGCTGCTGGGTGGCTGGGTAAGGCTCTCTGGGTAAAGTCATTAGCGCCTCTTTCCTCTTGGAGAAAATCTCTAGTCACTGCAGGTTCTTTCTCAGTCCATTTGCTGTGTGCCTCTGTGTGCTCTTCTGATCTTGGTGTTTTGACTACTCTCTGTAGGGCTTTTCAGCTCTGTGGATCAGCAATTTTCAACCTTTTTCATCACATGGCACACATGAACTAATTACTGAACGTCGTCGCTGCTAGAGATCTGTTGTTCCGTGTATTCATGCATTCATTGGTTGGTTCCTATGTGTGCCCTGACTGGGGATCAAACCCTCCACCGTGATGTGTCGGGATGACGCTCTAACCAACAGAGCTACCCAGCCAGAGCTGCTCCTATAGGTTTAAAAAAAAGAATTGCAAGCTGTTGAGTTTCAATATTACTCAACCTTCCTCCATGCCAGTTCCCACATGTGAGGATTCGGGGAAGAATGCTCAGATTCCCGGTTATCTTCTGTGCTTGAGGGGAACCACCCAAGGCAGGTCTCCACCGAGACCCGAGTTTCCCAAAGAAGTCGGTCCTCTTCCTCCACTGGAAAACAGCCTTGCCTCCTTTCCGTCTTCATCACCCCAGTAACAGTGTTAAGGTGTTTAATCCAACAGGACCTTTTTCTGTCTCTGGCTTCAAACCATGATCTGAATCAGCCTATGCTGAATTGCTGATTCAAGATCAAGGTGACCGAGGTCCTATGTGAACGGAAACCCCTCTCACTCGCAAGGATTAGGAAAGGCATCTCAAGAAAGATGCTTTGGCTGCAGCCGCGGAACCTTGCTGGAGGCTTCTTCCCATATCCTAGGCTTTGGGGCGAGGGACCCCACTGGGCAAGGGATCCTGACCAGGGCTGCTGGAAGTGGGGTGGTTTTGCTCCTGTTAGAGTGTCTTGCCTTCTTATTGGCAACTATCTGTCTGCAGTGATCACTGTCTCTCCCCAGGACTGTGGGAGGCCGCGCTGGCTGGAGTACACGCTACTCCGATTGGCACAGTTGAGTGGATAGCTGAGCCCTCATATCTGAGCCCTTGTGTCACACGACAGGTTGTGTGTGGCTGCCTCAGGGACCAGACTGTGTCACCTGCTGGGGTGACTGCCTACAGCCAACAGGACCTCCTAGCAGATGCCATGGGAACACAGCCTCATGCCCGTTTGTCCCCGCCATAGGCTGTAGACCCACTGCTGGCTCTTGCGTGCGTCACAAGCCTGTCGCTGGCCCTAGTCCCTTTTGCTGTCTTCTTCGTTTGAGTCAATTCCAGGTGCTGGGATTGACCAGACGAGGGGTCAGGAAGACTTTTAAGGATTAGCGAGGGAACGAGCTATAAACACTCTAGCACAAGGAGCTATTTTTCCTGTCGTATTTCTGCGCAGTGAAAATAACCCCAGTCCACTAAGGGTCGGGAGTGAATGGACAGCTGGAGTCTCCCGAGTTTGCTGGATCCCGGGGTCAGGATGTAAGGGGAAGAAATTTCACCTTTTGCAGTGAAGTGAGTCCTGCTCTGGTTTTGCCCAGAAGAGGAGCTCAGGCCAGGCTCCTTGTGGTTTGGAAAAGCGGCCACCACTGGGGAAGTGGGAACTCCAGACCTTATTTAAAGTGTCTCTGGCTTTGTGCTGGAATTCCAGGGCCCCCTGGCCTGGCCCGGAGCACGTCATCCTCCTGCCAGATGTGTGGATCTATGTCATCTCCCGACAGGGACTCTCACTTCCTTGGGGGAGGGGGCCACGTCTGTCAGGAAGACCTTCCTGCAACAGTTGAAGTGTGGTTTTTAAACGTCTTCTTACCTTGATGCTGGGAGGAAAAGTCCTCTGGTGATTCTTCTCCATTTTTGGAGATGACCAAAAGCATCTTCATTGACCTTCTGAAACAAGAGCCTTGTCTGAAGCCAAGGGCTGCTTGGGAAACAGCTGGGCTTTGAGGAGAGCACCAAAGATGGACCCAGGGGTCCTACTGCGGCTCTTCTGCAGCAATGAAGGCAACAGAGAGGGCCCTTCCCTGGCAATCTACAGCTCAGGAGAGGGAAGCACGAGTCCCTGTGTTTATGAGAGGCAAGTAGGTGACTTGTGCAAGGCGCTTTAGAGATGTGGACCGAAGCACACAGCCTTGTGTCTCCGCCTTACGTTCTCCTGCCTTGCAGGGCTGCTGCCTGACCTGGAGTCCCAGGACTGGAGGAACCTTTGTGTTCATCTGACTTCTCGCTTTGCAGAGGAAGTCAAATGGGGAGGCATGGATGGCTTGCTTACCACTTTTGCCAACCCATCGTGTTGCCCTGGAGAAGTGTCAGAAATTCCCAGAAACGGAAACACAGAAATACCAATCAATCCCAGACCTGGGTCTCAGGGCCTGTCTCGGTCAGTCTGGCGTGATAAAGGGGAGGCCAGGGTCGAGTTTTTGTGTTACTCAAGACCGGTCGGCTGGTTTCTCCTGCTTGAATGATCTGCAGTGGATCTGTGATCTATAACTGATGTGATATCCCGCACCTTGTTCTGCCCCCCATTGATTTTAATTAGTTGGCGCTGTTGTTTGTTGAGCTGATTTACTTCAGGGTTGATTCTCCAGGAGATAATCGGGGCCGCAGACAAGGATCTTTGGGAACCTGTGAGAAACACCAGGACCGAAGCTGGCTGACTCGCCTTAGAGGCTCGGAGTGCAGCAGCGCGGTGTTTGGTGTTCTGTCTTGCCTCTCAGGTCATGTGGACAGTGTCGCTCACCTGTCACGCTGGGGTGAGCGAAGGAGGTGCCCAGGGGCCCCTGGGCGCTCAGGCCCCACCCAGCTGCTCCCAGGGGTTGAGATTTCAGCAGACCTAGAGCCCAGTCGAGACTGGCCATGGGTGGGGATTCTTGAGAAAGAATTCTCAGACCGAGAGGATGTCCCTCTGGGCTTTGCTCCGGGGTCATCTGGAGACAGGGGCAGGGAGACGGGTTGGGGTGCGGATGAAAGGGTGAGCCACGAGCAGGTGGTCAGTGAAACAGTGAAGGGACACGACAGTTCACTGAAATGTTTTTTCTACTGTGGCACATTTCGGAAAGTTCCCTAGTAAAAAGTTTTAAAATGAAACAAAGCATAGCCCAGGGCAGAGATGGGCCCTGAAGGGTGGATTCCGTCACTGCATTGGGTAGGGGGTGTGGGTTTGAGGCGGTTACATCAGGTCATCCCCCCCCCCCATCTGTGGGGAGTGTGTCCCACCCCCGCCATGGACGCTTGAAACCAAGACGAGTCACTACCCAAGGGTAGTGCCAAACCTTATGGATACTATGTTTCTTCCTATACATACATACATACATACATACATACTTATGATAAAGTTTAATTTATAAAATTGAGCATAGTAAGAGATTAGCAATAACTAATGATAAAATAGAACAGTTATAACAATATTCAGTAATAAAAGTTATGTGAATGTGCTCTCTCTCTCAAAATATCTGAGAACTTCCCTGACTGGTATGTTTCAGTGGCTGAGTGTTGGCCTGTGAACCGAAGGGTTGCCGGTTCAATTCCCAGTCAGGGCACATGCCTGGGTTGCAGGCCAGGTCCCCAGTTTGGGGTGTGTGAGAGGCAACTGATCAACGAAGAATTTGACTGACCTTTGGTTTCCAGAGGGGTGATTCTAAATCCTGGGCATCACCTTAGCAAGAGGTGCGTCCTTGTGTTATTCACGAGCCCCTTGGATCCCACCTGAGTCCATGCTCAGGGTTGAGATGACCCAGGATGGGGGCCAGTCATCAGAAAGACCAACCATGAGATTAGAGGTTGGGACTCTCAGCCAGACTGACCTCTAGGATGTGATAGGGGCTAGAGGTTGTTTCAATTAGTTACATCTTTGTAATGACCAGCACGCGCCCCCCCGCCACTAAAAAAAACCCAAAACCCTCTGGACACCAAAGCTCTGCTGAACACAGTGAAGTGCCAGGAGGGTGGTGTGCCCTGGCTCCATAGGGCAAGGGGGAAGCTCTGCATCCGGGTCCCTCCGACACTTTGCTCCACGTGTCTCTTCATCTGGCAGGTCTTGATCTGCATCCTTTACAAGAAAACTGTAATCACAAGTGTGCCCCTTCTCGAGTTCTGTGAGTTCTAGTGAATTGTTGAACCTGAAGGAGGTTATGTGCTGTAGATGGATGTCTGTGTAGCCCCCAAATCCATTTGTTGACACCTAACCCCCAATGTGGTGGTATTGGAAGGTGTCAGGTCATGGATCCCTCATGAGTGGGGTGAGTGCCTTTATAAAAGGCCCCACAGAGCCCCCTTGTCCCTTCTGCCATGTGAGGACACAGCCAGAAGACAGCTCCTCACCAGTTACTGAATCTGCCAGCACCTGTATCTTGGACTTCCAGCCTTAAGAATTATGAGAAATAAATGTTGTTTGACCTACCCAGTTTGCAGTGTTTTTGTTACAGCAGCCCCGACTTAAGAAACCATGGGAACCTCCTGGGTCTGACACCTGTCGGCCAGAAGTGCTGGTGGCCTGGAGGCCACTGAGGTGTGGCTGGTGACTGGAGTGAGGCCAGTCTCGTTGGGAGCACACCCTGTAGCCTGCAGAGCCTGACCCTGACTCGAGGAGATTAGGCCCAGAACTGTGTGGCCCTGTATGTCAGAACGGGGCAGTGTGTGTGTGTGTGTGTGGGCGGGGGGGGGGTGCTTGCCAACTCTGAAGAAGCCCTTCTTGACCTGCCTGTCAGGATAAAACGCACTGTTTTCGAAAGGAGCTTCCTGAGTGCTTTCTCTCCAGGGTCCGATCTCCAGGTTTAAAGTCATGGACTTTGTTCCTTTCACCCCCACCCCTTGCAGTGTTTCTTCCTCACTCTCACGGTGCCCACAAAAACACTCAGCTCCAGACTCGTCCTCCCATTCGGAGATGCCACTTAAATTGTCGTGAGACACTTCTGCTCGAATGAAAAGTTCAGACGGTAACTTAGGGCTCCTCGGTAAAAGTACAAGAAACCTGTGAGTGTGTGTGTGTGTATGAGGGGCTAATTTTAAAGTCAAACTTCTGTTCTGCCAAAGGGGCCCACTCACTGATACCGGATTCTCCCGTGGGTTTTATGTCTGTTTTCTTGCCAGTCCCCGGAGGCCTTGAAATGCCACTGCATTTAGAAAGATGGGTGGATTTACAGTCTTTGTCGACCGTGGGGTGGTCGTATGCCTGTATTCATTATTATACAATCTTAATAGTAAACTATAAGCAGCCTCTAATAAAAGGCAGTTCTAAGAGTGAGGGGGAGGGAGGGATCGTAATCTAATAAGAAAGGCTAATCGAAAGGAGATAATATGGGTGAAAATGCCTCCTGATCAATGGTTCCCCCTGCCTCCCTTTAGTGACAAGATTTTCTTTCTGAACAGTGGTTTCCTCTCAGGAGTTCAGGCACTTGAGTTTTTTTACTTTTCACCCTGTGCTCCCGGATTTTCTTGGTTAAAAATGTGCAGGTGGAGGCACATCTCCTCCCCGTTGAATTTTGGAAAGGTCCTGATGGGGTGTCCACAGGCTCTCCTGCCGGGCAGCCGGGGCCCTGCCCTCAGACGTTTGCCTTGCCGGTGAGGGGCTGACGCATGGGGCGGGCTCAGAGGCCGTGTTCGCGTCCTGAGTAGACAGTGTGGGAGACTGACAGTCACGGGAGGTGTCCGGGTCATTGGCATCTGAGAAGTCCCAGAGCCTGGATATTTGTGTCTCATCCTAGGGCATGAGATTCCTGTGGGGTCCCCACGACGGACTTGGTGGGCAGACACAGACGTGGTGTGATTCTAGGTCCTTCAGGTGACTGGCTCTGTAGGGCTTTCCCAGAAGGTTTATGCCTTCTCATCTACAGCTGGGACATGAGTCTAGGATTTGGGAACCTGCTTCACTGCTAACTGGCTCTCAACCACATCATTTCCAGACCTTTCCATCAGTGATTAGGGATGGCACCACCGATCATCAGTTCCGCTCACACTGGACTCCCTTCTGGACTCCTCTCACCCATGTTTTCCACACGGGTCCCCTGGCCGTAAAGCAGGGGTGACACATTCATTTTCACTGGGGGCCACATCAGCCTTGCAGTTGCCTTCAAAGGGCTGAATGTAATTCTAGGACTGTGTAAATGTAACTACTCCTTAACTAGGGTGAAGGAGCTCAGTGATGCCGCCAGGTAGAAACAAGGTGCCTGGATGGATAAAACAAGGTGGAGGGCCGGATTCAGCCCACGAGCTTCGTGTTTGCCACCTGTGCCTTAAAGGATTCCGTTCCAACCCAGCTTTCTCGGGTGTCTCCATGACAAGAGAGATCTCTCACTCTTCTCATGCCCTGGCCCTTGGCTCATCTTCACTGGGTCCCTGGGAGCAAAGCCATTGCACCCACATCCAGCCAAGTCCTCCAGGGTCATGTGCACAAAGCAGGCCTTTGCCCGATGGGCAGTTTATTCCAGGAAAAGTACATAGGACCTTTGCAGCTGTGCTACATCTATGGTGCCGTGTCCAGGCTAATCCATCTGTTGGAAGTCGGTAACGTCTCCCGCAGCCTTGACACCAGACAGTTCTTCCAGGTAAGTCTTGCCCAGGGGACAGATGACCAGCATTTCGAAGGCACTTCTGTCAGACTCCTGAGTTTTGCTCACCACCAGGATCCACTCCTTGCTGGCTGGATTGGCCCACTCTGGGACTGGACCTCAGTGTTTGTTTGGGAGCAGGGCCAAAATACCTATTCTAAAGTCACCTGAAATACAACTCTGACATCTAAGAGTGGAATCATGGAAATTTTCGCTGGGCAGATACGTGCTTTGCCTGGATGAAGAGAGCCTGTGTGAACCTGGATCATTGATGAACTAATCCAAATGCAAACCCTTCAGGCCGGGCTGCTAGGTGGTTATCAAAATGTGTGGGCGTGGAGTTGCTCTGTGTATTTCATAATTTACACTTTAAAGTCCACAGGGTCAGTGTTGATGTCCCTTCTTTCATTTCTGATGTTAGCAATTTGTGTGTGCGTGCGCTCTCTCCTTCCCTCTCCCTCTCCCTCTCTCTCCTTTGCCTGGCTAGGGGCTAATAGATTTTATAAGAGGGGAACAAAAAAATCCAGAATTTATTTTTTAAAAATTATGTATTAATTCTCACATGTTTAAACTCCAGTCACCTTCAAAGTACTCTCCATTTGATGCAATATATCTATTGAGACATTTTTTCCAGTGCTAAAAACAGTTTTTTGAACTTGTTGATTTTGATGCCTTTTAGTGCTTCTGCTGTTTTTTAAAAATTAGTTAATTAATTAACTTGTTTTTAGAAAGGGGGAAGGGAGGGAGAAAGATAGGGAGAGAAACATTGATTGGTTGCCACTTGCACAATCCCAACCAGGGACTTGGCCTGCAGCCCAGTCATGTGCCCTGACTGGGAATCGAACCAGTGACCTTTCAATTTGTAGGACAATGCCCTACACCAGTCAGGGCATTTCTGCTGTTTTTTGTTTCACCTTTCCCATATCAGCAAAACATTTCCCTTTGAGGACTCTTCATCTAGAGAAACAAACAAACAAAAAGTCACTTGGGGTGAGATTTGGTGAATAGGGAGGGTGGGGCATGGGGGGTCATGCCACTTTTGGTCAAAAACTGCTGAACACTCAGTGCATTGTAGACAGGTGCACTCATAAATCACCCATCATATAAATGGGCAAACATGTTGAAAGTCTTTAAAAAAAAAAAGCCTGGCTGGCATGGCTCAGTAGATTGAGTGCTGGCCTGTGAACTGAAAGGTCGCTGGTTCGATTCCCAGTCTGGGCACATCCTTGGTGACAGACCAGGTCCCCAGTTGGGGTGTGTGAGAGGCAACCTATACATGTGTCTCTTGCACATTGATGTTTCTATCTCTCTCCCATCCCCTCTCTCTGAAAGGAAATCTTAAAAAAAAATTCAGTGAAGCTGAATGCAGCCTCTCACAACACCACCAGCTAGTACACTGATACAGATGGGTTCCTAGAACACTCATTTTGCAGGGGAAGCCTGTACTACAAGAGGCCTGTCCTCCAGAAGATAATTCTGTTGTTTTTTTTTTGGGGGGGGTACCCCTTTGTATTTATTTGTTTCAAAGAATCAGCTTTTGGTTTCATCTATTTTCTCTATTTTTTTGTTTACAAATTTTCTGATTTCTGCTCTACTTTTTTCTCTCCCCTCATCTGAGGACATGCCCACTGCTGCTAGAGAGAGGGGAAAAGAGGCAGAGAAAGGGAGAGACATTAGCTGCTTGCCTCTCCCATGCTCCTGACCAGGGACCAAACCCACAACCTAGGTCTGTGCCCTGCCTAGGAATTGAAAGCACTGCCTTTTGGTTTACAGGATGATGCCCCAACCAACTGAGGCACACTGGCCAGGGCTCTGGTCTATTTCTTATTGCATTCTGTTGATTTAATTTGCCTCCTTTTATTAGTTTCCTAAAGTGAGAACTTAGATTGTGGATTTTAGATCTTTCTTCTTTCCCAAGATATGTATTCAGTATAAATTTTCCTCTAAGCACTGTTTTCACTGTATCCCACAAATTTTGATAAATTGGGCTTTAATTTTCATTTAGTTCAAAATATTTAAAAATTTCTCTTGAGATTTCTTCTTGGACCTATGGGTGCTGTTTAACCTCCACATTTGGGCAGTGGGTGGGGGGGGAGGGGGGATTTTCCAGTTATTTTTCTGCTACTGATTTCTAGTTTAATTCCATGGTGTTCTGAGAGCAGGCATTGCCTGATTTCTATTTTTTAAAATTTGTTAAGGTATGTTTAGTGCCCTGGAATGTGGTCCATCTTGGTGAATGTTTCACGGGAGTCTGGGAAGAATGCTACTGTTGGACGAAGCCGTGTAGAGATGCCAATGTACCTGGTCCCTGGATGGCGGTGTTGAGTTCCGCTGGGTCCTGGCAGCCACATCCATTTCTGAAAGAGGGATGTTGGAGTCCCCAGCAATGATAGTGGACTGATGTGTTTTTCTTTGCATTTCCATTAGTTTTGCCTCACACAGTTAACACTCCACTATTAGATGCATACACATTAAGAAATGTATGTCTTCTCACAGAACAGACTACTTAATCATTATGCAATGCTTTTTTTTCTATCATAACTTTCCTTGCTTTGAAGCCTGTTTTGTCCAAAATTAATATAGCTTCTGCTTTCTTTTGATTAATGTTAAGATAGTATATTTTTCTCCATCTGTTTACTTTTAATTTATGCACATATTTACATTTAAAGTGGGTTTCTTGTAAAGAACATATACTTGGATCTTGTCTTTTGATTCACTCTGACAATCTCTGTATTTGAACTGGTACATTTAGACCACTGGTGTTCAACGTGATTAGTGATGTATTCCATCAATATTATTCTTCATGGGATAATATTCATCATGGATTATTGTTCTTCATGTATTCCATCAATA